TGACGCATCGACCTTGCCTTGGCATGTCGTCGATGCCACCACGGCGCCAGAAAACTTCACCATCCTGCATGTATTCGTCCACATGCGCCCATCGCCGAACCTCCGCAACGCCATGCCACCGGGATCCGCCGTCGGGCTTGCAGTGAATGCGACACCGCTCCTCCGCTTGTCCCGTCCAACCAGCATTTGCTCCAAACGATGCCCTCAGGAGGGACAACAGCATCGAAGGTGCCATCATCGTTCGATCTGGTAGATCCGGATCTAGGGTTTCCCCCGGAGTCACATGAGTGGGGTCCACGACCTGCAAAAACACGATCAGCGTCGGATTGCATCCCAGTCACAATAAAAAAGAAGGAAGTGTGCTTAGTTTTTACATGCTTGAATTCAAAAGAACATTAGGCCCTACCGGATCGGCAATCCCAGTCGTCTACTCCCCGATTAAGGTGCCGTCGGCGCCGCATAGCCACCCTCCGTGTCTGCCTCCGCCACCCGCATTTTCCGGCACCGCCAATTGATCTTTCTGCCGAGCGGGCGGACTGAACGATCATTCTTGCGTCGGCGTCCAAAGAGTCCGCATTCAAGGTCAACATCTTGGCGTCCTCTACAATGGCAGCAATCTTCACCTTCTTTTCCCCGAGCGCAACCTCCATTTCTTTGATCATGGTCCTCCTCTCTCCGAGTTTGAGCTTCTTGTACGTCACCTCCATGGAACAATTTAAACCTCTCCGTTTTTTTCCTCCTTGAGGTCTGAGCGCTTCACGCATGCCTTCTTCTTCTTCGACAAGATGTCCTCGAACCACTCAGTCAGCTTGGCCGCCACACCTTCTCGCTTCGCCCTTTCCTCCTTCCAATTCTTCCCCCGTAATAAAAATCTTCTAATCTTCTTCAGTGGTTCTTGGGTTGGGTCAGTAAGTTTTTTGCTTGTTGGCTTGGGCGGCGTTGTTGGCTATGAAAAGCTCCACTTCAGTTGCTTGTTCAACTTCAACCATCAATGCATCATGATGAATTTTTCTTCTCCAACTTTTTGTACACCAAACAAGCCCAGGAAGGATACGAAACAAGGCATATCCGGCTAGTGATCAACAAAAGTATGCATATCCGGCAAGTGAGCAACAAAATAATGCATGTTCAACTAGTGATCAACAAAACTAAGCATATCCTGTTAATGAGCAACAAAACAATGCATGTCCGACTAGTGATTGACACGTCTCCATCGTATCTACTTTTCCAAACACTTCTGCTCCTATTTTGGACTCTAATTTGCATAATTTGAATGAAACTAAGCCGGAATGACGCTGTTTTGAGCAGAACTACCATTATTTTATTTTTTATCAGAAATAAAAGTTATCGAATTGAGCTAAAAATTTACGGAGAATTTTTCTGGAATATATAAAAAATACTAGTGAAAATATCTACTGAAGGGAGCCACCACGGAGTCACAAGCTCAGGTGGGCCCCACCTAGGGCGTGCCACGTGAGCTTATGGGTCCCAAGAGCCTCCATTTGCCCTACCTCCGGTCCTATAAGTTTTTTATCACGGAGAGAAAAATCAGAGAGAAAGTTTCATCATATTTTACGATACAGAGTCGCCGCCACCTCCTGTTCTTCATTGGGAGGGCTGATCTGGAGTCCGTTCACGGCTTCGGAGAGGGGGATTCATCGCCATCGCCATCCTTAACCCTTCTCCGGAGAGTGAGTAACTACTTTGTAGGCTTGCTTGACGGTGATGGAGTTGGATGAGATTTTTCATGCAATCGAGTCAATTTGTTAGGGATTGATCCCTAGTATCCACTATGTTTTGAGATTGATGTTGCTTACTATGCTTAATACTTGTCACTAGGGCCCGAGTGTCATGATTTTGGATTTGAACCTATTATGTCTTCATGAATATAAGTGAGTTTTGGATCCTATCTTCCAATTTGTATGCACCTAATACGTGTTATGATCCGCAGACCCTAAGGTGACAATAATTAGGATTCACTCTGATGATGACTGTAATATGAGGAGTTCATGTATTCATTAAGTATTAATGCTTTGTTTTGGTTCTCTATTAAAACGAGGCCTTAATATCCCTTAGATTTCCTTATGGACCCCGCTGCCATGGGAGGGTTGGACAAAAGATGTTATGCAAGTTCTTATTTTAAGCACATATGACTACATACGAAATAAATGTCTACATTGAATTGATGAATTGGAGCTATTGTGTATCGCTCTAGGTTGTGTCTGTTACATGATGAATATCATCCACACTGAATATTCATCGCTGATTCAATGCCTACATTTTGCTCATATTGTCTTTGCTAAGTTACTATTGTTGTTGCTGTTGTTACAATCAAAACTGCTAATATTACTTTTACTGTTACTATTGTTATGGTTAGCGCTACTATCAAAACTATCAAACTACCGTGATACTAAACACTTTGCTGCAGAGAATTACTTTTTCAGGTGTGGTTGAATTGACAACTCAACTGCTAAGGCTCATAAGTATTCTTTGATCCCCTCCCTTGTGTCGAATCAATAAATTGGGTGAAATACTACCGGAGAAGACTGTCTTGATCCCTATACTTGTGGGTTATCAGTGATCAACAAAACTAAGGTAAGCATAACCGGCTAGTGAGCAACAAAACAATGCATGTCCAACTAGTGACCAACTTACTTGCTCGGTGATTTGTGCATCGCTAGGCCATCGTGTGATGACATGCTTCAAGTGCTCGTAATACTTGGAGACGACCTCTTGGATGATGCATCATCGATGGTTGAGGGACTTCCATTCACGATTACGGATGACCGCGTCGGAGTAGGCCGTGAAATGCTTGTGTTCATGGAGCCATATATGAATGTTCTTCAAAGTTTGCGCCCTGTTACTTCGTGCCATGAAGAGGATCGAGGCTAGTGGCCATCCATGCATCACACAACAACTCGTCCTCCCGCATGTTGAATCTTTCTCCTCTACCCTTCTTCTTCGGATTGCTGGTTGTATCATCCGGATCATCGTCCTCGTTGTCCTCCCTCTGCTCCTCCTCCCCCCCCCTCCGCTTGTTATTGTTTGCGGTCCAATGTTGTTGTTGTTGTTGTTGTTGTTGTATACATCATGTCAGTCTGGGTGTAGGGCTGCTGCGTGGCCATCTAGGTATAGGACAACTGTTGTTGGTAGTTGCCAGACTAGGTGGGATCCGAGTCTTCTACTTGCCCATCCTCATAGACACATGCTCCTCGTTCGTCTTCGTCTCCGCGCCCGGATGAGCTACGGCGAAGAATACTCGGAGAAGAGCAGCGCCACATTTACGTCAACGATTTAAGGCACCGTACCAGCGGGGGTTCCGAGCTGCTTGGCGGCGTAGTAGTACGAAGACTTGTAGTGCTCCGGCCACGACGTCTGTACTTTGGGCGCGCCCGTCTGGCGGCGTCCGCCACAGCCGCCAGGACCTCCATGCCCAATTCCACCACCATGCACACTGGCGGCCAACAACTTCTTGAGCTTCTCCTCCTTTGCGCCCTTCGCTCTAACACGGCGAGTTTGCCGCGTAGCCGAGTTGATCTTTCGGGTGAGCATGATGCTTCCTCCAGCATCTTCGCCACCTCCATCTCCGATAGGTTCTCAGACGGTTCCATGCGTCATCGGTGGAAGGATGGAGAGGGTGGGAGAAAAGAGCGGGAATTGGGCGGAGAGCGGCTAAAGGTGGAAGAAGAGAGTGGGGAATTTTACGCGGAAACAGTGCAGGTTGCTACAAAAGCGCGGACTCTGCCTTCCTTTTTGGTGGGCCAGGGGGTCAGAGAGCGACGTTTCGTATGTCCGGACTCCCGCAACCCTCCTCTCCCATGTTTGGTTAGAGAAAACACATTAGGGCCACTTGACGGACCGATACAGACACACATTGGATAGCTTCCGTGGTCCGGACAGCGGTCCGGA